CACCCGACTGCTGTCCCTACTGCGGCGCTTCTCCGCATGACTGTCAGCATCTCTTCGTCTGCAATTCCCGGCCAGTTCCCGCGGACCTTTTGCTCAGGCCGGTCCACGTCTCGGCTTTTCTCCGTCTCCCAACTACTCCCACTTTGGATTCCGGCGGGGATTCCTGATCCAACAATGGGCTACGACACACGCACACAGAAGGAAAACTGGAATAGCCATTTCTGGGCTCTTGGCCGTCATCAGACAGCCTTACCCACTCGCGGTTGGTGCACCTCCCGAGAATCAAACCCGCAACCCGTTGGTTAGAAGTTCAACGCTGTAACCATTGAGCCACGGACTGTTCGTTTTGCTGCCGGTTTATATCGGAAAAAATAATAAAAAAAAGGCTGGGTGTGTAAGGGTAGAAAACAATAAGGATGATTATTTTACTAATCTTTTGTCCGACGCGCGATAATTGAAATGACAAATACAACTAATAAGAAGCGAAAATCGCCTAAAATACCCGCGAATTGGATACCATGGTTTGTCGACTCTATATCGAATTTTAGAGATTAAAGGTATATCATGAAAGATATGCATTTTTCACACTTTTTAAAACCCACACTATCTTTTACTGTGTTTGGACCGATAAACTAAACTACCTGAAAATAAACTAAAAGTAACCGCAGGACGCTAAAGAATTCCATTTGGGGAATGCAGCGTGGGTGGATTGCGTCGTACTTTTGTGGTGAGAAAAGATGTTTATTACTACGAACTAAGTATGCAGTTATGCGAAGTAAGCGTAGTGAACCCTAAAACGAGATTGTTACCCTGTTTTTTGTTTTATCTCATCCAGATCTTCGAGCAGTCGATCCCAGCACACCCCCCCTGGATTTCCTGTTCTCCAGAGGACGCTGCGCTCCCGGCTTCTACGAGTACCATTCCAGTTGCGTGGCCCTGATCCCGGCTGCTGGGCTTCTTCGACTGCCCTCGCCACAGCACGATGACGTGACTAACATCTGCCTGCAGTCCACTGGGACTAATTGCAGTGATCCGCTTGGCACCAGTGAATGCCCCATCGTCATGACTCCGCACACCATCGGTGATGCGGCCTTTCAGCGCTCGCTAATCCGAAAGTTTGCTAGG